TTTTAGCAATTTCGCTGGTTCTTCTTGTTAGTTCATGTTGAATAACAGGTCTCACTTTGGTGCTCTTGTAAATTACTGTGGAGCTGCGAGTGTGCCGCTTTGATCACAGGAATTTACAGGTCACAAGGTGGCCCTTACAAGCATAGCTAGTACCCCCCCCCTAAGCTGTATGCGCCAAAATTTTAACTGAAATAGAGACGGTAATTCTGAGTATAAACTGACCGATTTCCAAAGCGTGTTGTGCCAGTTCTTCCGATTGGCGCACCTTTTCCTCACACATTTTCATTCAAACCCAGTTATTTTCCTGGGCAAGCCCTCCTTTCTTCAAAGCACATCTCTTCAATGTGGTTCGGAAATATTGTCATTTTTTTACTTGAATCCGTCGTTTTTTACTTCATTTCGAATGCCTGGCTTATTGCGCTGTCACCAGCATGATTTTCTTCGTTCATTCACTGATTCTTGCTCTGCAACCCGGGTCCAACATCGGTATGAGTCAAACGGCGGTGCTGCGACGGCCAGTTTTCTCTTCCAGTACGACCCCTCCTATTCTACCAACCGTCTTACCAAACTCTACAGACTCTCTACCGCTTTTCCAGTAATTTTTTTCCAAAAAAGTGGCCAATTGGCGTAGGGCTGTGGAGTGGGGAGGGCGTGAGGTCGTCACGTCAGCTACCAAAATCGGCTTCGGAGTCAGACCACATCATTAGCTGAAGATTTTGGTCGAGTCCGACAACCCGCCTCCCCCACCCCTCCCCGTAAATTGTGATTTGATACGACCTCTCCCCCTAGTTCCCTTCTCTGATACGACCGAGCTGTCGAGCGAGGGGGAAGGGTGTACACAGCAAATCCGAAACAGGAGAAATTGCGATAAGTCAACAACCGGGACAAAAAGAATTCCAATGTAGCTAATTTCTTCTAGAAGGTAAACAGTGAAACACCACCCCCCCCCACTCTCCTCTAGCGGTCGAATAAGACTCCCCTGCTGGTGAATGTCCCCTGTTTGGGGTAGTTGCATAGCAGAGTTCCGCCACTGGGGATGATCTAGCGCACGTGAAACGGCAGAAATCGTGATCATTTAAGCAAATGGAAAAATTCTCGCGGCACGGAACCATTTCTTTAGAGTGCAGGGACGACCCCAACTGACCACTACGGCCCCCTCTTCAGCGACCAACTACGCTTGCCACCCCTGCTCGATGGGAGTCTCCCAGCGGTGCTCTGCCGTGTTTCCTTTGTTCTCCATGGGCCTTTTTCCCTTGAACAGCTCCGTTTGCTCCCTGTTTCTACCAGTCAGTGGT